TCATCATCCTTGCCCCCACTCGTAGCCCTCCCTGATCCTTGCCCCCACTCGTAGCCCTCCCTGATCATCATCCTTGCCCCCACTCGTAGCCCTCCCTCGATCATCATCCTTGCCCCCACTCGTAGCCCTCCGTGATCATCATCCTTGCCCCCACTCGTAGCCCTCCCTGATCATCATCCTTGCTCCCACTCTTAGCCCTCAGTAATCATCATCATTGCCCCTACTCGTAGCCCTCAGTGATCATCATCCTTGCCCCCACTCGTAACCCTCGGTGATCATCATCCTTTCCACCACTCGTAGCCCTTCGCGATCCTTGCCCCCACTCGTAGCCCTCCCTGATCATCATCCTTGCCCCTACTCATAGCCCTCCGTGATCATTATCCTTGCCCCCACTGGTAGCCCTCCCTGATCATCATCCTTGCCCCCACTCGTAGCCCTCCCTGATCATCATCCTTGCCCCCATCGTAGCCCTCCCTGATCATCATCCTTGCCCCCACTCGTAGCCTTCCCTGATCATCATACTTGCCCCCACTCGTAGCCCTCCCTGATCATCATCCTTGCCCCCACTGGTAGCCCTCCCTGATCATCATCCTTGCCCCCACTCGTAGCCCTCCGAGATCATCATCCTTGCCCACACTCGTAGCCCTCCCTGATCATCATCCTTGCCCCCACTCGTAGCCCTCCCTGATCATTATCCTTGCCCCCACTCGTAGCCCTCCCTGATCATCATCCTTGCCCCCACTCGTAGCCCTCCCTGATCATCATCCTTGCGCCCAGTCGTAGCCCTCCCTGATCATCATTTTTGCCCCCACTCGTAGCCCTCCCTGATCCTTGCCCCCACTCGTAGCCCTCCCTGATCATCATCCTTGCCCCCACTCGTAGCCCTCCTTGATCATCATCCTTGCCCCCACTCGTAGCCCTCCCTGATCCTTGCCCCCACTCGTAGCCCTCCCTGATCATCATCCTTGCCCCCACTTGTAGCCCTTCCTGATCATTATCCTTGCCTCCACTCGTAGCCCTCCCTGCTTATATTACGTACAATAGCAGTGACAGTCCATCTTTATATAGAGAGTTAACGATAAGGAAATGCGACAATTGAACTCATAAAAGGCGAGTTTCTATTGTGTCCAGTACTCTATTATTTTTTATACTTAAAATATCTTGCCATTTGAAATGATCAATGCCATGTCGTTGAATGGTAGTATGTTGACTTTATCCGAGCGCATCATAACTTTTTTGATCGTGATGTCTGAAATGATCAGTACTTGTTGTGAACACTTCCAGAAGGTTTGGAATCTCAGACCTCTTGTTTTATGATTGTAATTCTGATTGTAAACCGTTTCTGGTTAATGTTAACCAGACAACTGGTCCTGGATAATCTTTGTCAGTGGAGCTTGGACGCCTTGTGGGTTTGTTTGAATTCAACCTTTGGCGGACTGACTAGCCTGGCTAGTTTAAATCTCCTTTTTTGCCAAATGCTACGATCTGTATTCTCATAGTCTCCAACTCAGGTGTCGTGGATGAGGAAGCCGCTGAAGGTTAGGTATCTTTCCCACTTTTCCAAATCCTTTGGCCTAATTCCATTTCGCACATGTCACAATGATTATGGAAATATATATTGTGTCTATCAGTGCGCTTGTATACGTTTGTTTGTGTGTGTGTGTGTGTGTGCGTGCGTGTTTTTTGTGTCTGCGTGTTTCGACAGAACATTTACATTAAATAATCACTCCTTTACACGTTCCAAATTTTAACGTTTTATTACTTGAAAAACACCACCTTTCTAAAACTAAACATACCAGAATACAATTAAATCAGATTTTGGCGGCTTCTGATTGGACGACGAGCTGTGCCTCCACGGACTTCCTCCCGGGGACGTCCGCGGGCCTCATGACGTTCCCGTTCGGCCGGATGCCGAGGTACTGGCCGGGGGCACACCGCGCCTCGAACGTACTGAACCCCGCCTCATTCTGAACCACGATAAACTCACACTGCAGTCCGCCGTTACCCTGTAGAGGAAAGACAACTTTAGATAGGTGCAGTTCTACATGTCCCTTTTGCTAAGCACCATCCACGCATATCTGTCCTTGGTACTGAACACTATCCATACACACGGGTAAATACGTGGGACGTCCTTGGTTCATGAAAAATATTCATGTACAAAAACTCTCAAGGTTTTATGGAGCTATGAAGTTTTCGAACTATTCTGTTTCAACTATTTCCAGCGGCGACCCTACTTTAGATCATCATCATTATTTTACAACGTTTTTATTGCCAACAAACTTTGTCATATACATGTAGAAGAGGATCTGGTGGAGGGCAGTCAAATTCGATAAGATTAACTCAAATTCGAGTCGATTCGTTTAGAAAGATAGGTGTAGCCTAAATCTGGCGAGACTGGAAGGTGTGACAGGGTTTTCTACTGCTCTATCTCTGCGCATGGATCTGGCAGTATCTGCATCTGCATATTAATTACCAAACCAATTTTAGCTGCCAAGACAAAAAGAGACTCGACGGCTAAAATAGGTTTGCTAGGATATGCTTACTTACGTTTCCCAGCAATCGGTTGTGTTGTACCGCTAGATGTCTGTCAGGGTCGGCGGTACACTGTAGGATTACCACCGGCTGGTGTGGTGACACACGCCCCACTTGAATCAACCGGAAATGACCTGAACACCAACAACAATTATACACATAATATAAGCTGGGTTATAATATAAATTTAATTGCAAAACATAATCGAATCAACTAAAGCACATTATATCTTCATTTAAAAGTCGTTACATTTTTCAAAAGTTACATTTAATGTTGATACTAGAATAATGAACGTAGCTGTATAGGTGCGTTTGGTTGTCACTGCATGAAATCCAACATTTAAACATGCCTTTATAAGAATGTGTAAAGGTTCCGTTTTCCAGTCGCTTAAAAAGAATGGAACCTTTATGCATGCTTTAAGGGATTTTATGTCGTGTGTGGCTACATTTTGCTGGAATAAAGTTGAACATTTTACTATAATTACCACGCACCTGTTGGGCCAAAACTGCTTCTCCCGTAGACATCTCCGCTGTCCAGAATCCTGAGGTAGCGTCTGCTGGCACGTGACCACAGCCTGACCACGAGGGACGGCACCACGCGTTCCCGCCACACGCACGGCTCCACCAGATCGGCGGGCTCCAGAAACTCCCTCGCCGTGAAGTCCAGCGCGCACACCCGCCAGTCCTTCAGGTCTCCCGCGCGACCGTCGTGCGGAGGCGACAGGTCCTTCGGCGGGACGAACACGTCAATCTTCGGCGGCGGGCTGACAGGACTCGGCGGGACCTCGTGCCCGCTGCTGCCGACCGACGACTCCGAAGGGGACCGAGGTAGAGCTGCGGGAATCGTGAACGTGACCTTACGGGTGGCAGTGGGCGGGGTGTCGGGAGACGGCGGCGGGGTTTCAACAGAGTTCTGCCGAAGCTTATCCACCGGGCTTTCCGACTGTTTCTGGTGCAACATTGCTACGTCCAGTGAATTCCTGTGAGTCATGCGAAGGTGACTCTGGTGTGGTGACTTGAACACAACATGGTTCTCGGTTTCAGAGTCACCGGATGAGTCGGTATCTTCACTGTCAGAATCAGCACCGCTGTTGTTAAAGGCTGACTTGATGAGCTGGGCAACCGGGTGCGGTCCCTGACGAAGGCCTGGGTACGGTGGCGGCCGGCTCTTGGGCGTCGTGTCTTCTTCAACATCGACGTAAGATATCTCAACGACTTCGGGCTCGTCTTCTTCGAAGTGAACATGGCGGTTGTTGTTATGGTTATTGTTGTTACCGTTCAACGCAGACTTGATAATGGCAGCAACGGGGTGAACTTTACGTTGACTCATCTTTGTCTGGTCACCGTTCTCTCTCAGCTTTGTTTGTTTGCGCCTTTATTTACAATCAAAATTGCTCTAATCGTGCTTTAGCGACGCTTAGAGGTCGAGTTGCGTGGAGTTTAAAAATTTGGTCCTCAGCATTCAACTTTGCACATACTAGTACATGTCTTCAAAAAACAAAGCGAGCTTGCATACTGTCTCCAGCACTACACCTTCGCACAAACGATCAGTATATCCTGTATGGTGACGAACAAAAAATAATAATAATACCATAAAATTCACTCAATATCAACATCCCCAACGAATTCATACAATATGGTGTAAGTTTGATCAAGTTGTAATTTCCATAATGTCGATGCTTGGAACATATCCCCTACTTGATCCAGAATTTTCACTGCCCCCCCCCTCTCAGTATAGGACCTTTTATATGCTGTGTGCTTGAGCAGTCCAGCTGTAACTACAAGTAATTACGCAGGTTTGGGACACCATCTACTGACAAACATGTATATCTAAGTGTATGCCACTATTTCTGGACGAATCGTTTGTTTTCTCTTCATTTCAAATTTCTGAGATTCTAGGGGTTACTAGTATATTTGTTGAGTCATGAACGTATCCAAATCTCAAAGGCCCTAAACGTCTTTTCATGCCCCGCATACACGCCATTGCCTACACAAAGCCTGAACCCTCTTGCAACCACTTTGTGGCCGTGCTTGTTTTCATACCAAAGCCACTCCATGTCACAGCGCCTTTCATTATGGCACGCAGCCCTCAAAACCCTTCTCTCGCTAGGCAACCCAGTATCCCGAGCACTCATTTCAAAAAGCCATTTGAAGCCACCTGTACACAAAACACACTCCCCTTGCCCGAGAAAGACCAAGAAATCAGTACCTACATGTAGTGCCATTTGTGGCTTTTTATATCACTTTTTTACAATTACATAGCGTCGACTTGTTTCATTTGGAGCAGATTTTAAGTTGGGCTGGAAGGAATGAATAGGTCCTATAGGGGGCTGTGGAAATGCTGGATCAGGTAGGTTCCGAGCATCGCGAAGAGAGAGGCTCGCGTAATGGTACGAGATTGAACCCGGAGGTTTTATCGAATGTGGGACGTGAACACAAGTCGTTTCTAACATGCGATACAAAATGGGAACGATCATTTCATACAGCAGGTGCAGTTTGACTTCTGGATGTATGCCGGACCTTAGCCATTGGCACCACCTGTTCCTGATTCTATTAAGTGCTACCTGTAGAAATCTATCCACCGATGCTATTTGTATATCTCGGGGCCAGTGAGGATAGACACTTGTGTTCTAACTAAGCGACAAAATAGACAAAATGACTGTCACCGGTTACAGACAAATCTATCTACTACATGCCTTAAATTCTAGTTTGTAACTTACGACAGAGCTACAACTAACAGCCGCCAATGTATCCGGGTAAACATCTTAAAATCCTTCAATCACCAAGGCTTTGAGAAATGAAATACTTACAAACAGTTAGGACAAAACGTACCGATCCGTAGAGAGGTAGGTAGTTGCCGCCCACCCTACACTACTTCATGGCGGGAAGTTGTATTTTTGACGACTCCCCCACCGAGAGAAGTGGAGCAGAAACGTGACCTCTTCTGTCAACAAACTGTTGGCAAGGCGCATACAGGGGTCAACTAGCTGTAACCCCGCCCCTATTCAAACAACGTAACACGAGAAGGCGGCGGTTGGTCTAAATACGGTTATATATAGCGCAGGTCAATCTTCAAGCAGATACTAGGAGGGACGATCGTAACGCTTAGTTTTGACTGGAGGCGTGTCCACAGCTTTATCTAAAACGATACAGGCATGTTGAATGTGATTATATGGATAACATATCTGCGTGCACGGATGAATTTTCGCGAGGTTTAAAAGAAACACTACGAATTACTATACGTCGTACAAATGCGAATTGAGCAAAATTTGCCAAAAATGTTGGAAAACGATGCCAATGTTGTAGAATGCCGACATAAATTACAAAGAAGAAGAAGAGAACGTGAAGAAATGAAAATGACGAGTATATTATTCGTCATACCATACTCTGCGTTTAGATATCAACCTTCATGACCACGAGATTTCATAGCCTCCAAACTTTTTTTTTCATTCATTCGCACGCTCGCATCAGTTTAGGGGTTCCCAGAGGATGTCATCCATATAATCAAATCAACATGCCCTAATTAGGTGTTGTGTAAGGTACAGCATATAACATATACAACGTTACATAGTTGCTAACATTTATCTAACAGCATTATTAAACGGTGCTACAAGTAACAGTTACAAGATGGCGTTCGTCCTCTATTCTATTCAAATAACAATATTTACGTTATCTTTGTTCCAGGGGAGTGCGGGTATGTCTTACGGTTTCAACATGTAATTTGTGGCAGCTACGTTTTGTGACTGCATTTCTCTCCTTCATATTTTCATTACTTCGATATTTTCTATATTATAATGTAGTTTTAAACAATCTATATGATCTTAACTTACTCTGAGCCCCACCAGTAATATATGTTTGCCAGGAAAGGCGGCCTTGTTTTGCTTCAGTGGAGAAGGTCACGAAATCATCAACATTGCTTGGGTATGCTTAAAATGTGTTGTAAACATTGCAGAGAGAGGGTAAGACTCTGCTAGTGATCTACCGTGATGTTGTGAAAGCTACTTATGTTACGGGTCATACAGAAAGACGGAACGGGGTGCATTTTAACTACCTGCAGGGCGCCTTCTTCGAGTGGGAGAGAGTAGCTGACTTTGTAATAATATCGGGACGTGTCTTCAGGAGAGGAGGCCCGTGTGAGGAGGGTTACCGGCTGCCCGCCGGGGCTGTACCTGCCCCGCTGCGGAGAACTTCGACAGCCAGTCTACGGTAGATAACGCCGGGGCAGACCGTATCTCAACATCATTCCTACATTCTGATCCCAATCGATGAGTTTGTATCCAATGATATGGTGTAACGTTTTGCAGTTTTTATAAGGAATTACAGTCAAACTGTCTAACACGACCACCAGGGGGCCGAGGAAAAGTGGTCCCGTTATATCAGTGTTCTTCTTGTACGAAAAAGCATGGTGACAAGACAGGACAGAGAATAAGAAAACCACAGCAAAATTTCCACCGATTTTATAATAAACTGGCCCATTGACAGAAAGTGACCCAGTCAGTGCCATTTTACATTGCACAGGATGTCGAAATCAATGACAATCTGCTACATTTGGGAAGTGAAGGTGCCTTACAGGTTGTAAACAGCTGTCAGCCACATTTGTTCAGTACTACAGCACCGACCATGAATGTCAGAAATGTGAGGTACCTGCACAAATATGTTCAAATATGGAAGTAAAGTACAACATGTCCAATCATCAACATATTCCAATTGCCTGTACGAAAATGTTACAGGATGCCCTCTTTAAAGTATTGTACAGCGGGTTTCCGACTGACAACGATGAGTCGAGACAGCATCTAGAAATTCACCATCCTGACTACCGCTGTCTTCATCCTTGTCGTCGAAGATCTCCACGAAACCCGTCTTCTGGCTCCAAACGAAGCTGCTGTTTCTCCTGTTGAAACGGTCATACTCACAGGCCGGTACCGGGGCGACGCTTCCCTGGCTCCCGCGGGGAGCGGCCTGTGCCCCCGCCACACTCCCCAGCCCTGACGCGATCACCGAAGCTTCAAACGCCTTCTTGTGCTTCGTGGCCATCTTCAGCAGGTCTTGGCTAGACTGCATCACCACCTTAGCCGACAAGTCGAAGAGTTTGAGTTTTCTTTCCAACCCTTGATGGTCTACGCCCTGCAGGTCTTCTTTCAGGGAGTCGAGATAGTCTTGCAGTTCTGCGGCGCGCCGCTTGGAGATTTGGCTGTGACGTTCGAACTCGTCGTGTGAGGCTGCCAATGCTGGCAGGACGCTGTCCATGTACTGTTGGCTCAAGCTGGTCTGTTGCTCAGCGCAAGCTGTGACGGACAGCTGTGATGAGCTGTCATAGTGCCTGTCACTGGCGTGTTTCAGAGCTGATAGCCAAGTTTTTCGTTCAGAAGCAGAGCTACAAAAAAAATCACGACGATCCGTCAACCGGTTTTAATCCCTTTTCAACAAACGCCTCTGCAGTTCCAGAACAAGCTTTTATAGCTAGTATATAGGGCCCAAATTCAAGCGCTAAGCACAACAGCTATATACCGTCCGAAATTCGTGACCCTAACATGAGATACCAAAACCGGAAGTTGCGCTGCAGTACCATAACTACCAAAAACATAATCTTCTGACAAAGGTAAAATCATCCTTGGTATAATCATAATAATGTTTTAGTATGACTTGAACAACATAAAGCTCTACAATCCAGAGTATCATGTTTGTTGCTTTTAAATATCTAGAACAAAATATCAAAGTCGCAAGAAGCATACACACACTAAAACACACAAGCACATGTACACACACACAAACACACAGAGACAAAACTTACCTAGCCCGGAGAAAAATCTTATCCTTGTCTTTCTGGATAAGAAGAGAATTGGCGTCTCCCTTGCTGACCACAGCGCCTTCTAGCGACAGGCACGGCCATCTGCAGAAGCGACACCAGGCGCCTTTTGGGGCATTCGGGGTCCTTGGAAAGAAATCACATATTCAAACCTTCCAAAATCATATCCAGTTGCTTTTTGGCGAATCACATGTTCATCTTTGTGCTGTATCTTAGCTGAAAACAAATAAACGAACAAAAGCAGGACTAAATACATATAGTAGTATAGTGGCCCCTTATGCTATCGGGGTCACAACGTTCTCCATATTTGAGTCATAGCTACATATACCATGACTTGAATATGACCATATAATAAATGTGGTGCGAAATAAGCTTTTTATAGTGACAGATTTTGTTATGAACTTACCCAAGGTTGGCTAAATTCGGGAGCAGTCTGACCAATTTAGGCCACGCCTACCTTTCTATACTGCTGTTAATTTTTTTCGGCTAATGTTCGTGAGACCATGATCGGCTATGTACGCGTGTGATAGTATGTAACTGTTACGTACTTGTATTGATAGAGTAGATTTCCCGCCAGAACGAACCACCTCGGTTTATATGGTCCTGTCAGCCGCCTGGCCCTGTCCAGCCAACCCTCCAACTCTAGATCCACACACAGGTCCACTTGTTGTAACGACGTGCCTAACATGCTGGTTACTCAGAAGTCCACACCACTGATCAGGTATGTTGTTGTTGTTGTTGTTGTTGTCCTTGTTTAACGTCTAAAATCTCGTTAGATTTGGTCACTTGGTGCTGGGTTGGTCTTGGTATTTAACTCTTGGTGTCTTGTGCTTGCGTGGTGCTCGAGGTGTGTCTACGGTAGAGCACGTCGAGTCGGTGCGTACTCTTGACGTACTGGTGGAAGGCTAACTACATCCGCTTGTTGAATTCGAAGGTCTCCTTTCATTCCAGCTATGGTGATGATATGCTTTAGGTCTCGTATAGACTCTCTGTTTCTTGCAGCATGTGATGTCCTCTTTCCTTTTCGTAGCGAGAGCAGTGGTTCAGATAGCGGGTGGTGGTCTCCAGGTCTCTAACAGATAGTTCAAAGGTCGCGTCACAGAAGTAATTGTGCCGCTCAGAAATTATTACGTCATCAGTGAAAGCACAATTTTGCTTAGTTACGTTACTCTATTCCATCCGTTCTGGCTCGAATTTCGAAAAAAGTTACGGTTTTGCAGGGGAAATCCGTTTTGCAGGAAGTCTAGCAGTTACAATGTGATTTACTTGGGTTAGGAGCAAATGTCAAGATGTTTACCAAAGATGTGTACTAGGTAGCGAACCCCACAGTTTGTCTGTATACAATGTCTGTATCGTGACGTGATCAGCGATGTTCCATGGAACGTCTTTTTTTCAGTTGCATAACGACAGAATCCAGACTTCTCCGTTGCACATGTTTGTTTCTGTGTGTGTGTGTGTGTGTGTGTGTGTGGGTGTGTGTGCGTGCGTGCGTGCGTGCGTGCGCGTGCGTGCGTGTGTGTGTGTGTGTGTGTGTGTTAGTTGTGCACGCACGTATGACCAGAACCTACATTAAAAGGCAACGGTAAATGTATATTTTTTTTACTCATGACATAAGTTTGTGATCGACTGTAATCGTCCAGGTAGGAATGTTGTTAGCGTTAGGTCTTTATAAATCTCTAGACGGGAGTAGAACCCCATAGTTTGGCTCGACCAAAGGATGATATCAGACGTGGTAGTTTCAATGTTGATGTTTATTTTTCGACAGTTTGTTACGCAAACATATGTGTTTCCCAGTCTATCCATACATGTAGTCTATGTATTTCTATGTTAGCTATATTTTCTGCGACGGTAAATACATGTACCTGCAAGTCTTGGTGTCCGAGTCGATCTTTTTACAACATAATGAGGAGTGCAATCAAGGAGCTTCTATTTTTTATGAGTAAGGCCATGTTGATTTGATTATATGGATGACATCCGCGCGCGCATGAATTTTCGGCCGTTTCCAAAAAAAAAAAAGGTTTTCAACCATACTGTAAATCGTACAAAACAGTTGCAAAATGAGCAAAAATATACCGTAAGTTACAAAAAAATAAGTAAAAACTATACCAATGTCGTAGAATGCCAAAATCAAACGAAAAAAGACAAAATTGTAAGGAAATGAACTTGAAGATTAGATTATTCGCCAAACCATATTCTGTCCCATTTGTTCAACCCTCATGACCACGTAAATTTCATAATGAAAACAGCTCTTTTTTTGCAAAACTTTTTTTTTATTCGCACGCGCGCATCAGTTTTGGGGCTCCCGGAGGATGTCATCCATATAATCAAATCAACATGGCCTAACGGTGAGTTTCTGTGGTTTGATTAGAATTAATGGTTGATTGTATCTATTAAAACTCTCTTCTTGGCTTTAGTAAACCTGCGTCGCCTGCAAAAATAAGAAAAACAATGATTTGAAAATTGATGTGAACAAAATAGCACCTACTGCCCAGACATTTAATAGTTTCTGTCGGAAAATGCGGAAAAAGTATACACATGTAATAATTTCCAGACAGGTCAACTTTATATTACGGGCGGATATTAGTCTAGGTATAAACCATTCATAGAGTGTATCTAACGGGCGGATATTAGTCTAGGTATAAACCATTCATAGAGTGTATTTAACGGGCGGATATTAGTCTAGGTATAAACCATTCATAGAGTGTATTTCGATGTAAAATCGATTTCGTATATAACGGTATATATTTGCAATCTACAGAAAATACATGCAACACAAATAACGTCTTACCAAAGATCAAAAACATTTCCTAGCACTGTCCTGAACATGTCTCCACCACAAAGAGAAAACATCTACTGATGTTATTAATATGTATACTTCATATTGTACCTGCGTGACAGGGGCTGCGGAACGGACCGGGCAACACCATGAGACAAATATTTCTGCAAAACAACAATATCACGGTGCAGGGCTTAGAAAGAAAGAGAAACGGTAGTTTTAATTCAAAGGATTTTGCTAAATTTGTGCATTGTTTTTGAATGCGATAGGAAAACGGTTCCTAGCAAGCATACCTTGATTAGAAGCGGTGTAGTAATAAGGCCACATCGTCTTAATTTTATGGATGACATCCTCTGAAGACCCCCAAACTAGTGCGCGCGGGCGAATAATAAAAATTCCGACCAAACCACAGGAATGCAAAGCTGGTATTGTGAATTTGCGGCAGTACATAGCGACATATACGACAAGCCGGTACCTTGCTGGCTTTTTGCGGAATTTGTAAATCGTCACTGTACGTATGTACTGAGTTCTTGAGTCGTGCAGCTTCGGTAGCTTGGGTGCCAGGGTTGCCAACGGCTCCGTATTGTCGCTAACTACCATGGACTACCCAGGCCAGAGCCTCGGAGGCGGAAATCAATGCGCGCGCGGATGTCATCCATAATATTAAGGAGGTGTGGCCTAAATAGCAAAATTCTGCGGCGCGTGGAGGCCCTATTCGTGAATGTGTGACTGGGCTTTAGAGGGATTGAAAAGAAAGTTGTGCCGGGGATTAAAATACCAAATCGAAACCAAAAATGGGACCAATCTGGATGATTATGGCTTTGAGGCAGGGATGAACTTTTACCCTAAAAAATCATCCATCTCTGAAACAGACAATTATTCACATGTGTACTCCTCTGGGTATCTTCCTAAACACATCGTAGAACTTTTAAACGTATTTCTACCCAAAACTGTGTATTATCATCAGCATGAATAAAAAACTGCGTAATTTCTTCAAGCATTAAAGGGGCATTATGTAACATTTTTGAACCAAAAAAAATTAAAATACTTCAGTAAAATCTTCGCGTGATTGTGATTTTCTTCCACTTTTCAACATATTTCTGCAATAACCCGACATTTCTGACATTTATGGTTGGCACTAAATAGCCCACACGAGGCAAATTCAGTTTGTGGTGCCACTATAAACTGCCAGAATGTAAACAGCCGTGTTTCCAAATTTTTACCACACTCGTAAGGCATAATATTTTATCATTCACTTCCTGAACGGCACTCATTTGCATTTAAGTTAGGTTGTTGTAAAAAAAATGGCTAGAAAAGATACTTTTTGTATCGTCCTAATGTTACATAATGCAGCTTTCATGTATAGATGAAAATACAACGACCATACTTGTTTTCAGTGATGTGCTTCCGAGACAGACTTGTTAACCTAACAATCACACCCACGTTTCTTCCGGCGTGTGTATACCATGAATAAACAACGGCTCAAACAGACTATAAACGGCAGAGCAGAGTTTATTCGGCAACAGTTACACCTCAGCTCGATCGCTTCCTAGTCGGTACCCTGTGCTGTCTCGTGTTTTACAGAAAATTGTGAGGCCTCGATAACCAGAAAAGGTTGCTCCTTCTTCACGGTACCTTCAAACACAGCCATCCTGATCTTTTTGAAGTCAGCCGGTACCGTTGTGTGGAAACTGCGATGATGAATTCGAAGCAGACCGGCTGCTGGCTCCTGGTGATCGGTTCTGTTCTCGGCAGCGTCACGGCGACAGACGTCCGCTCTTTCAGCCCCAATTGGTGCATGTTACGTCCCTGGCACATGTGCGTGCGGGACGACATCAAGGTTCGTGATACTTTCTACCACAACATGACTTGCATCTGCACATCTTGCTTCTTGAACCCTCGAGACATGGGCTGTGCTCCACTCTACTCGTTGGCTCCCTTCCCCGCTGCCCAGTGGGTCGCCCTGCGCGGTGTCCCCGTCGGAAACCTGTCCTCGCAAACTCTGGGTCCCATCGAGCGGTCTTCATTGACGGTCCTTGTCCTTATAGATGCAGGTATAAACATGATTGAAAACAAACTATTCGCCAGGTTTCCACACTTACGGTCAGTACATTTAGATCATAACACTTTGTCGCAGCTGAAACGAGCTTCGTTCTCAGGCATGAACACTTCTCACCCATCTCTCACCTACCTGTCGTTCTCTCACAACTGCATTGTTGAACTAGAACCTGGGTGTTTCGAAGACGTTTCACGTCTAACAATGTTAGATTTGTCCCACAATCTGCTGTCGGAAGTAGCGAGTGAGTGGTTCCGTGGTCTTTCCTTCCTACATACGCTGATTCTGAGTCGCAACAAGATTGAAATCGTTTCTGCAACCGCCTTCGATTCACTTCACGATCTACGAGTCCTGAACGTAAGTCACAACCCTCTGACGTGTCTGAGCGAGAGAACACTCTCGGGGCTGTCATTACAAACCTTCAGCGCAGGGGGAGGGCGAGTCATTTCATGGGAGCAAGATGACGAAATGAACTGGAGTCTCACCGTGGACAAAATTAACTTTCCTTGGAGGATACAGAGGGTTCGCCTGCGCATCGATAACTTCGGTTTCTGCCTCATATATACGACAGCGACAAGAGACTTCCAACTCAGATGGGCTCGTGTGGACAGTTTATATTCCGACTTTTTTAATGGGCAAGAACCCGACTGTTCGATACATGCGTTTGGCCCGATAAACATCCGACCACCGTTTGTTGTCGCAACAGCTTTGAAGAAACCAGAAAACAAGAACGGGCGCTTAGCTAACCTGTGTCCAGAAGCTTGGACAAGACATGACGGAATGGCTTTAGTCCTGGAAGGTAATGTGGGCTTGCAGCTTGTCGGCATGCGCAAAACAGAAATATCGGAGACAAGCGGAAGCGATGGGCATGGTATTGCTTTGGTGTCTAGCTACAAGAGAAATCCAGATTTTGTGATGGAATACGAAACAGAGCCGAGTGTAACAAACATTTCCTGCTTTGTATTCTTTCGCGGAGAGGCAGGCCCGGGCACTTTGCCGCCGTCGTTTTTCCAAGCCGCAGGGGCAGGGCCATACTCGGAATGCCCCGACTCAAAGTTTTCTACAGACATTCCAAATAAAGAGTCCAACACCACAAGTACAGATTCCACCAGTCAAACCGCCGACTATGCTACAGGCTACTTAGAGAATAGCACCGAGGATACAAGGTTTGAATTGACCACCATGATAGTACAAGATCCCTACAGAACGCTAATTCCCCTTCTTCAATCCAGTGTCACCATGCCAATTGCAAAGGAAGCGGCCTCTCCATATTTAGTGTTAATATTAATTTCCTTGCCCGGACTTGTTATCCTAACACTAATCTTAGTGATGGCCTACAGGCGCAGACGTACCAGGAATGCCGCTCAGAATGTACCAGTTGTCCCGGCCCTGGTGCACAGTTGCCGTCAGCCTGTAACGCAGCTTATTGGCAATTCTATGTACACAACATCGAATCAAACTTTGGCTCAACCCTCAGCCCTGGTGCACAGTTGCCGTCAGCCTGTAACGCAGCTTATTAGCAATTCTATGTACACAACATCGAATCAAACTTTGGCTCAACCCTCAGGTGGTACTGACCTGACCAAACAAAGCACAGACTGTCGTTCTTCTATTCTCTCCACGCACACGTACTACGAAATAAAGGACGAGGACGTTTATACACACACAGAAATGCCGCTGCAAATGTACCAGGTACTGCTTTAAGACAAGGTGTTACTCAGTGTAGTTCCCTTGTCACAAAACGCATCAGTGATACGAATCAAGGATCGGGCCAAGACCTGGATAATCCTGGAACTCCTGACACCGTGACTGACGAGGAAGAAAGCCGCGCCCACCGTCGCTTCTCCACGGTTTCCACCCACAGCTACGAAGAGGTAAAGGACGACGTTTATGATCCGACTACAACGCACACTTACTCCGAGATCAGGGACGAAGAGGTTCGTGGCACTTCTGCGAACGTTGTAAGAGTCCAGAACAGGAAACGGAACAACGATTCCCAAACAGGTGCACCAAATATCGTCTCCAGGACACGTGGTAACCGTCCTTGTATCGATGTCACAGATCTGACCAGCAATCCGATGTACAAAACATCCACGGCTCAAGCTGACAGTACTAAACATAAAGAACAAATCACCTGTCGTCATTCTTCAACACTTTCCGCCCACAGCTACTGTGAAATAGATGATGACGATGTCTATAACCCGTCTTCTACCCACTTCTACACCGAAATCAAAGATGATCATGAAACGGTCGCTGTTTTTTCTGCTCAAGATGTGAGAGCGAACGAGAGCGGAGAACAAAGCAAAGATGAAGAAAATAGTGGACAGTCTTTGGAAGGTGACGATGTCGTATGAAATGACGAACCTTAATCCAAACAACGATAAGTTTATTGAATATTCCTGGCCGAAGGTTAATTGTAAATAACAAGTATAAAAGAACATTGAAACAGAGATCAAACTCTACCGAGATCTAAATCGTCTTAAATTATGTCTAAGGCAAGAATTCGGAGATCTAATACCTCCATGTAATATGTAGAGTTTACGTTAATGTTTTTTTTTCGGAGGATTTGTCTCATTGCATATGAAAATAAAGTCGTCATTAACATTATCTAGGTTAAATGTATGGTTTTCTAAACTCAAATTACAATATTTCAAGTATGAAATTCCTATCCTTTTGCAATATTTTATTTCCACATGTCCTCATTATTTATGCAAATGACCTCTACATTATGCAGTGATGTTAACTTACACGTCACACTTTAAGTAACTTACACGTCACAAGGTATAAAATTACCATCATTCTATAAAGGTGCATTATGTAACTTTTGAAATATGCTACTTATAACAAATTTCGGTGTTATCAACAGTTATTATCACTTTTCAACACATTTGTGTCATTATTCCACATTTTGAACGTATATTTTGTGCGTTCAAACAGCCCTTGTTCAGTTCTGGGTGCCACCGGTTTGCTCAGGACAACAAGGTCTCAGCGCTTCGGGGGGGTAGGCTATTGCAAACGGCTAACCCTACTGATAAATACAAGACATTACATGGAAAGCATTCTAAAACATTATTCTAAGTACAAGTACATGAAAACATCGTATTATTCCATATTCCATATTATTCGCCACATGCCAGAGAACCGCCCACCTGCCAAACGGAGTGGTGACCGAGTGGCTGTCAAGTTGCCCTCAAGTTGCCCTTGACCTTTCACCTCCCATTATGGCGGATATGTTGTTATTGTACGTTTGTTAAGTTCCGGGTTCCCTCTGGGTTCCTGCGAGACACGAATGGATTATTGTGCGAAGAGTACCCTTTGAGTAGAAGGTAAGGTAGTTAAAAAGCTGCACATGTAAGAAATTCAAACGCACCCTCGTTGTAAAAGGTAATCCCATATCCTTTTGTGGCCGTAGGGGCAGTGGGTTGTTGATCCACTGTGTCTAGGACCTAGGACTAGGGCACGGTATTGGAAGGCGGAGCCCATCCCTCTCCTTCCACCGCCTTTTACCTTCCCAACCGAAGTCAGGTATCCATTTGTATACCTGGGAGGAGTGAGGAAAGTCGTGTAAAAGCGTAAGTCGTAGCCACTCGGTAATTCTATTCTCTCTTTGATGTTTGATTTAGACACAGTCACGTTCACCGTGTTTGTTTTGTCTGGCGTATGATTTTCAGCGCTACACTAGGACAGAACCGATATCGTTGAGAAGGACTGCTTTTTCTGCCACTCAACAATTTCTTTAGGCTATATAAGACGCATCTCAACTCGGAGTACCCTCGGAGTACCCCAGGTGAAGCAGTCCTGACACACAATGCCATTGGGTCAACCTTTCAAAGGACCTTGGATTGTACCAGCACATTTAGACTAAGCGTTAACTACACTTCAATATTTCGGTACAGCTGAACTCTAGATATAAATACCATGGCGATATAATCTAAGACTGCTCGTGACGTTAGGGTTAGCCTGGTCATTGCGTACTAGTAGTGGTGGTATTGAGGTCATCTGAGTTTATAAGCGCCAAATGGCAGACATATGTTTTGGCTCTGGTCCCATTATTTCTAAAGCCTGTCACAGTTCAGCCGGAGGGAGACTAGCTTTATCTGTGTCACATAACGTGATGTAAGCTACCAGTTGAGTTTTGTCCTGTCTGTACAAGCTGGCCTTCACCAGGCCTTCCCAGAAAAATTCATATTACGAATGCATGTAGACAAACCATCCATCGAATAACATATCTGTTCTTTTATTTCCAAACTGAAAAGCTTTAGTTTCATTAGTTTGTTTTTGTATGTATGTATCTGTTCATCTTGTTTTGTTGTGACCTGTACTTAGCCCAGTGTGGAAGAAATGTGCAATAAAGGTCGCCATTCATTAGAGATTTGGCCAGAATGGGCGTGAAAATGAGCCTATGGTGGCCAAACTCTCTGACCAGTTATTTTCCCTATTTGGCTAAATTTTACTATTTTTTTCAAACCCGCGTCGTTAGTCTCGTGGAAACCAAGAACTAGCTGCGTTTATCTACATGTGCAAATAATTAAGTTGATACATTCACACTGAGACGTGCCCTACTTCTCTCAAGGACATGCTTGATGTCACATTGTGTGGCTGTCCTTCAAGACGGGACTCGAGGCCAAATTAAGTCCTCAGAAATACTTCAACCCGTACACCTGTTTCTGCTTTTACTGTAAGAGGATAGTATGTTAGCCTGAATGTTTTCTGTGTTGGTAGAAATTGTTCTGAAACAGGTTTGATCTGTGATTTTCCAACACACAAAAATTGGACTTATGGACCGCATTTTCATGTCCACAGGAAGGCGCTATATGGCATCTGTCCTTCGCCGTTTGGCTGTTCCAGCGACCCTCATACCCCTGAGCGTTCCTGTAGGACTCTACGCCTTCGCCAAACTAAACCCGGAGAAAACAACGGCCTACGCCAAGCCTGTGTTCCTCTGGCTGTGTGCCAAACTCAAAACATTCCACCAGGAGAGATTTTGTGTACTGAAAGAGGACGTCTTTTCTGGACTGAAGAAACAGGATGGGAGAAATTTGCAAGTTTTGGAAATTGGACCGGGAAAGGGAGCAAACTTCGAATATTTTCCCCCAAGAACTTCTGTGATTGCGGTTGACCCCAACATTGAATTTGCACAGGAGCTTGAAGAAAATTCCAAACAGTACCCGGATGTTAAGGTAGAATTGATGAAATACAAAATATTGATAATAAACTAGAAAGGTAAATGTTACCTTCACATGGTTTAGTCTAACAAACTACTGGTCTGTTTATTCTTACTCAAACCAGTTACTATGGTGACAGCCGTCTGGTACAGGTCATTGACCTCACGTGTTTGGAGAAAAAGAAGAGCAAAAACAATGTTTTCCTTTTCTGAAGATAAAAATAAATATTTGATACCATACGTGATAAATTATGATGTGGATTAATCTCGAGTATCATTAATTTGTAACCCATTCATTAAATACACTAAATACAACGTTTTATGTTATTAGCCAGATGGTTGATTTTGGTTCAAAAATGACCCTTATAAGCTTTTTTTAATCTTTGATCCAGGTGACGAAGTTCGTAGTTGCGGGTGCAGAAGACATGTCTGCCGTGGCGGAGGGATCTGTGGACGCGGTGGTGTGTACTTTGGCCCTGTGCTCCGTCCAAGACGTCGACGCTGTCCTTGGGGAGGTCAAGAGAGTTCTCAAACCGGTAATCAAAGTCACAACACTGACAGTATAACTAACTGGGAGAGACACCGATTTTTGAGTACCGTCTCACGTACACAGTATGGTACATGTATATCATCGTAGGGACATGGACTTGCACTAGTATACGGTCGTGCGCCTGGTTTACCAAACCTATTTTAGTTGCCGGGTCTCTGTCGTCCTCTCGGCAAATGGCTAGGAGACAACGAAAGAGAGTCGGCAGCCAAAATAGGTTTGGTACCGTACTACGTAACCAGGCTACGTGTGCGCCGTCTCGTACGTTCACACACGGGATATTGACTTGAGCTAGTATACGTGTGTGCCGTTTCACACATATATGATATCAGAAACGAACAACACAGACACAAAACGCTATGTCTCTTGAACTCTCTTCTATTCCG